GCTCCCCGAGGGGCCGGCTTGGCTTCCCCTCGGTGACAGCGGGGCAGTTTGTTCCTTGCAGCCCCCTCTCCGGTTGCCGGGGCTTCCCAGGAGCAGCAGCAGATCTGGAGGCTTTGAACCTCCAAGATGTTCACCTGCTGCTTAAGTTGATAATCCCCGAAGGAGGAGGCAGCGCCTGCTCCTGGCTCCGGCCGCGTATCCCGTGCGGTTGGAAGCTGGGTGCGGCGCTGGGAATCGCAGCAGCCCGTTGTTGGGTGCTTAAAAACGCAGCCCCAAAGGAGCTGGGATTTGCCGTGTGCTGCTGCTGCTCTGACGTTTCATCTTCTCGCTTCCTGAGCCAGCATCAAAGGTGCCCGGCCATTTGGGGTGTTCAGAGCCAGGGGCGAGCAGGCTCCCTGGCAAACACAGTGGCTTTTTGCCTGGAGGGCTCCACAGTCTCCAGCTGAGACCTGGTGCTGGTGGTGAAGGCTTTGTCGTATTGTGAGTTGGCTGTGGGTTCTGGCTGTTTAGGAGATCAGGTACCAGGAAACTGGCAGCCTGCTTGTGGTATCACACTTGAGTGGGGTAGAGGCAAACCTAAAGGTTGAAACAAAAGAGTGGAAGGGTTTTGGAAAATCCAGGGGTGGCAACAGAGGGGTCTGCTCTGGTATTTCATTCCAACAGAGTTGTGTTTTAATAGTGCGGAAGAGGAGGGCAGGGGAGAGCCTTCTCCTAAACCTCACACTGAGGGTAGGACATGAATTTCATAAACCTGAGACTGCCCGTGCCGGCTGCTCCTCTCTCCCTCTGCCACACGGAGCAATCCCTTCCCATGGGGAAAGACACGAAGGAGATGGAGGAGGCTGTTTCTATCCTTGGTCTGAAAAGCCTTGGGTGGAAGAGCTGCTCCACAGGCCCCTTGGTCATGTAACGCAGGTATCCTGCCCCGGCTGGGGGCTCTTGGGCTCGGTGTGTAGCCATGCTGATGCTTAACGTAGAGTGGGGGCTGGAAGGTGGGGGGTTCTGCCTCTCACTGCTGTCCAGGCTTGGTTCTATGGGGCAGGCTCCACCAGGGATGGCCCTTCTAACCTGCAGCGTCTTGCCTCTGGCAGCTCACCGTGCAGAACAAGTGGCTGAAGCGTAGGTAGGTACGTGCTTGGACTCTGTGCCCTCGGGAGGAGGTATCCTACCCAGGGGGACGTGCCTTGACCTGGCTGTGCAGTGACTGCCTGGTTATGTGAAACTTAAGGGGAGAGTAGATTTTATAGCTGTTACTGGAAATGGCAAAAAGTGTCAGAGCCTCATATATCCCCTTGCGAGGCCAAGAACCAAAGGTCATGCCAGGGAGGAGAGCGTAACCTGCGGGACGGTCCAGGCTGCTGC